GGCTATCCAAATGTCACTGACAAAATCATCTTATTCTCTGATGCTTCATGGAAAGCACACAGAAAGCCAAGATTATTCACACAGTGAACTTGAATAGCCCAATAATCTTGTGCTGCGTGACTGTTCATGGTGTCACTTTCCAATGAAGTCTATCTCTTGCTAATCAACTGAAACAGCCACTGCAGGGAACTGGGAAAGGAGTCTCAGGGAAACTGAACAGAAGAACATAAAAAAAAAAAAAAAAGATCAGTAGATGACATTTTCCCCCACAAAATACATCATCGTAGAGCTAGAAATTGAAATTTTATTTGTGGGCCATCTGAGAGCTCAAACACAAGAAAACAGTTTTCGAGACTTAGGCAGAAAATTGCTGCATATTTGGTCTAGGAGTGAGATTGAGGATGGCAAAATTAGATCCCACTAAACACAAAGTTTATGAAGATGAGAAAAATTACTTGGTTTCAAAAGGCATTTATAACAGCAAAGTGTTGAAGCTGAGAGGATTTATTTTTAAATGAGAAGTACTGAGAATGTCATGTCTTGACAGAAGAGAGCAAGAATTCATTGCCTTCAAAAGATACAGGATGGAAAGGGTTTGGGTAGACATTTGGCAGGTATCTTCTGTCCAGCATTGTTTTTGGAGATTGAAGAGTGCAGAATGTCTCTGAGAAGGTTTATGAACTCAGACTTTTGAAGCAGGGAATTTCCCTTTATTTGTTAAATTTGGAAGGTATGCAGGAGAGATTTTAGAGCGAATAACCTTACAAAACGATGCTAATAGAAAGGAATTACTACTACTGAGGAGAAAACATGGGCCCCATTTTGTCCAAGGAGAATCAGCAGCATTTCTGCCTCAGTCAAAACACCAGAGTCCTGGCAGTGAAGGGGCTGTTGAATGAAAAGGATATCTGGATTTTCCTGGAGAGTGATACTTGCACATCCTTCTTTAAGATATTCTTTGAAAATCCATTGCAGCTGATCCAAGGGACAATGGATGTGTGTTCACTATTAATGCTAAATTGATCATTAACTTCAGGTTACTTTAGGAGAGGACATATAACACCTGGAGATCCCCTTGTTAAACAGAAAATATTCAAAACTCGGCGCCTCCTGCAACCATCATGTGCCTGAAAAAACCTCAGTCGTGTTTCTGGCTTCTGGGAAGTGTAGTGCACAACACATGAGTAGTGCCTGCTACAATTGCCCATGGCCTGCATCTGCGTTAAGCACATTTGCTGGCAGGTTTGTATAGGATGTCTTCTAGACTTTTCATATTTACCTGAATTATTAGAGCCAAACCAAACGCCTTGATAGCTACTAAGAAAGTACGTTTATTTGCCAAAGACTTCAGGTGGGAGACGTGGCTCATAATTTGCCCTAGTGACAGTCAGAACCTAACAGAGGAGAAGCTGCGCTGGGGCTGGTGCAGTTCCTGCGCTGGACGCCAAGCGCCGCTGCTGGCCAGCGCTGGGCGGGGGCTCCCATGCAGGGAGGGACCAGCGAGATGCTGCCTGGCTGACATCAGCTGAGAGCCCAACCGAAATGCCCGGCTGTACTGGAATACGCCTTAGTTTAAAGCCTTTTCAAGGGATGTGCTGGGAATTGCTGCATCGAGAACCGGCTGGAAACATCAAGAGCACAAGGCAGAAGCGGGAAGGAGAAGGGTCTCCCAGGTCCAGCTCTGGGGAATTCAGAAGCATTTCGCCGCAGGTCTGGCGTGACTCAAGCAGAGCCCGTTGGTTGGTAAGCACCGACAACACCGAGAGAAAGTATTGTTTATATTTAACGGAATGATGGGGAAAGCACTAACTGGAGTAAATGCAGAGAGAGGAGGCCGGCTTAGCTCTCGGAAAATGAACCATGAACAGGAGCTGTACCAGAGGGATTTGCAGTATAACGGAGAACCAGCAGGTTGGGAACTATTGTTCCCGGCTTTCCTCACGTTTCCATCCAGCTGAGAGCTCAGGGCAGCCATTTTCATAGGAGAGCTGGGAATTCAAGCGCCGAGTGCTGGATGAGAGAACAGAAACCAGTCCTGGAGCTGTCTGGGAACAAGAGGATGGGAATGTTGGCCCCTGTTTGCACGCATCTTGGAAAACACAGGGACTCGGGAAGCATCTGTGCTTTCGATCTGCAGGCAAAGACTCCTCCCACGCCAGGCTGTCCTTGGGGTGTGCTGGAGGTGGACGGATTCCAGGGATGGGGAAAAAAACTTTTACCCAGGAGGGCAACCGAATTTGCCATGGGGTCTCTGAGATTTTGCTTGGCGGATCTGAATTCCCAGCTAGAAGACCAACAAGAAGAAACAGAAATTGCTAAGGCTGCAGAAGTGCAGCAGAATCTTCATTTAGAAACACTATGCTCTGAAATACAGAGACATACCAGGAACTGAGCAAAGTATGTTGCAGTAACTCTGTTAATGTTAATATGTAAATCTCAGGGTAAAGAAAAGAACCATTTTCCACCATTTTAAACCACCTTCTTAGGATAAAGATGTTATCACTAAAGCAAGAAAAGAGGAAGCCCACAACATTACTACGTGCTCCAGGAGATAAGTAAATTCTCTGACACCTTTATGCAAATCAGTATTTTATTGTGGCTATAGTTCCTTATAGTGTGCCCTAAAACACAATGTGTTGTTGTCTGGCAGCATACGTACTTCTTTTTTTCCAGTTAAACAATGTCCTTTTTATTGTTGTGACCCAAAGGAGAATACCAGCATCCATCCAAAATCCAGTGAGGCATGGCAAATGACCCTATTTATTTGGTATTTCTCTAAGATATGAGCTTCAGTCTGTCGTGGTTTAAGCCCAGGAGGTAACTCAGAACCACGCAGCCGTTCACTCACTCCTCGTCTTCTTTCTCCCCCCTCTCCAGGAGGGATGGGGAGGAGAATCGAAATAATGTAGCTCCCACGGGTTGAGATAAGAGCAGTCCAGTAACTAAGGTATAACACAAAACCACTACTGCTACCACCAATAATAATAATGATAAGGGAAGAGAATATAATCACTCACCACCCACTGACCGATTCCCAGCCCAACCTGAGCAGCGATCTAGCCTTTCCGGGTAACTGCTCCCAGTTTATATACTTGGCATGACGTGCTGTAGTATGGAATACCTCTTTGGCTAGTTTGAGTCAGGTGTCCTGTCTCTGCTTCCTCCTGGCTTCCTCTCCCCCGGCAGAGCATGAAACTGAGAAAGTCTTTGGTCAGGGTAAACGTTACTGAGCAACAACTAAAACCATTGGTGTTACCAGCGTTGTTCCCAGGCTGAAAGCCAAGAACACAGCGCTGCACTAGCTACTAAGGAGAAAAATGACTGCTACTACTGAACCCAAGACAGTCTAAGAACAGCATGTTCTGATGTCCTTTTACACCCTTCTACATCTGAAGTGGAAAGACACCATTCCCATTCTGAAATGGGGTGAGTAACAATTGCCAGGTTATTGCTGAGAGGGTGGGAAGTCTCTATGGAAGCTCTTCCCAGTTTGTGTCTGTTCCAAAGATTATGATATGCAGAAGCAAAAAACTACCTTCCTCTCTCTGAGTTACCAAGAGCTGAGCAGGAGCACTGGCAAGGGCAAAAAGCAAATGGATTCCAAGTATCACTGTTATTTTTGCATGGCACAAATGAGGAGACAAGCCACGTTCCAACACATCTACCACTGTACTTGATCAATGTTTGGTTTTACATCAAGCTTCTTTGCTGGTGAGAATAATAGCCACTCGAGAAGGACACGTACATGCCCCTGGAAAGAAAGAAAGGAAGATAGAGCTGACGTGATCTTTGATGTAAGTTAACCTTTTCAGTTCTATTACCCCTACAATTCAAATGGGGATAAGAAGAAATCACAAAAGATGGCTACACCCGTGAAAAATCCTAATAGCTAAAAATGTAGTTAAAATTCCGTAAAAGTCAACCTTGGCTTTTTTTAGATTACATTCTCCTACTGATACAGTCACGAAGTTTTTATTTTAAAACAAATGAAGACATAAGCGAATTTCTAGAACTTCACCTGGTGAGTATTGCTGGAGAGTGGCAGCCCTTTTAGCAAACAAAACATAAAACGGAAACATCTGGGAAATTAAGGAAAGGTATGAAGAACAAGGAGGTCAGAACACTTTCCATAGAAACAACAACAAAAAAAAAACCCCACCAAAAACAACAACAACAAAAAAAAAAATAGCGCACCAGCGGTACATAGCGTGGGCCTTTCCCGGAGCGCCGCTGCGTCTCTTATGGTTTCTGGTTGAACCTCTCTTGATTTACACCTGAATGGTTCTTTTAATTGCGTCATTAGATCCCGGGTCGTTGCTATTATCCCCTTTAGCTCCTGCTCATTACCTTTTGGGTACCTGGAAGTTTAATTTATGAGCTTTCCTGTCTACTTGCCTTTTGTATTAAATAGCTGTAGGCTGTGTATCCTTACACAGGGAGAGGAGGTCAAGTTTGACGTCTGAGTAGAGGAACAAGTATTTCTAAGCTTGTGGGGTAACAGTAGAGGAGAAAGGACTGTACACCATCTTATGAAGACAGGAGGAGAAAGTTGGGGTTGTTCAGCCTGGAGAAGTCACCCTCGGGGAGACCTTAGAGCAGCTTCCAGGGCCTAAAGGGTCCTTCAAGAAACCTGGAGAGTAGATTTTTATAAGGGCATGTAAGGATAAGACAAGGTGTAATGGTTTTAAAGAGGGGAAATTTAAATTAGATATTAGGAAACAAATCTTCCCTGTGAAGGTGGTAAGACACTGACGAGGTTGCCTAGGGAAGCTGTGGCTGCCCCATCCCTGGCAGTGTTCAGGCAATCCAAAAGATGCTTATTGAGAGTTCGTGGGTGTGAGCTGGGAAAGTGATACCCGGAGCATGAAGGGGGGAAGTCGGCTTCCGAGAGCGAAGAGCATTTACACTGGGCCCGTTAGCTTCGTTTTGGCAGGGAGGCTACAGAATCAAGCAGCAAGCTCCGAACCAGCAGCTCTGCCCCCGAATAAGACAGAGGACGGACTATTCCCCCTTACGACGCTGGGTGGGGATATTGCCCACGGACCTGCAGGTTCCGCAGCTCACCCCGAGTTTGCAGGCACAGGGAGACAAAAAAAAGAAAAGCCGTAGGAGCTACTCGGGAAGAGCTGCTCGGCTCGGAGCTGCGGTGCTCGGAGGTTTTCAATCCCACAAACCCGGGATTCCTGACAAACACCTCTCTGCCTCGGACGCTACTTAGAAATGCTAGGAATCAGGGAGGACGGTGGATGGCTTTTCTGGAGAGTAATGGCGTGCGGGATACGGAACAGAGACAGCAAGAGGCAAGTGATCTTGTTTTTTCTGTGCGTTTGCGTGTCTCAGAGCGCGGCCGAAACCCTCCGCTATTCTCTGTCGGAGGAAATGGAGAAAGACTCCTTTGTCGCCAATATTGCAAAGGACCTGGGGGTTTCTCCGAGCCAGCTCATGGCTCGCAACGCCCGGGTTGTGTCGGAGGGGAACGAGCAGCTTTTCCTCCTTAATCAAAACACCGGAGTCCTGACTGCAAAGGAATCTCTGGACCGAGAGGAGATCTGTCCGCAGAGGGACATCTGCACGCTTGTCTTTAAGATATTCCTTGAAAATCCGCTGCAGCTGATCCGAGGGGAGGTGGAGATTCGTGACGTGAACGACAACTCCCCCGTGTTCCCCGAGAAGGAGATGGTTTTAGAGATTCTGGAAACGGCATCCCCTGGGTCCCGTTTCCCTCTGGAAAGCGCCCAAGACCAGGACGTGGGCAGTAACGGTTTGCAGAACTACAGCCTTGGATCAAATTTACATTTTTCCCTCGCTCTGGAAACAGGGACAAATGGAATGAAATATGCTGAGCTCGTCCTACAGCAGCAGCTGGACCGCGAAGAGCAGCGAGAGATGAATTTACTTATCACTGCCATCGACGGGGGTTCGCCACCCAGGTCAGGGACTGCTCAGGTCCGGATCGTGGTGGTGGATGCCAATGACAACACCCCGGTATTCACTCGGGAGGTCTACGAGGTGCGCGTGGCCGAGAACAGCCCTCCGGAGCAGCTGGTGGTCAGAGTGACGGCCGCTGATCCCGACGAAGGGTCCTACGGAAAAGTGCGGTACGCCTTCACTCAGACACCGGAGCGGTCCCGGCAGCTCTTTGAGCTGAACCCCGCCACAGGGGAGATAAGGGTGGCGGGCAACCTGGATTTCGAGGAAGCGAAAACCCACGAGATGGTGGTAAAAGCCACTGACGGTGGGGGGCTGTCGGCGCATTGCAAAGTGCAGGTGGAAATCCTGGACATGAATGACAACGCTCCGGAGATTGCGCTCACCTCCCTCACAGCCTCCATCGCTGAGGCCGCTCCACCCCGCACCGTGGTGGCCCTGTTCAGTGTGCAGGACCGGGACTCCGGGAACAACGGCAGGACAGAGTGTTCGATCGACGGGGACTTGCCCTTCAGTCTCACCCCAACTTTTGATAATTACTACGAACTGAGAACAAACGCGGCCCTGGACAGGGAGAGGACAGCGGAATACAACATCACCATCACAGCCACGGACTGGGGCACGACGCGGCTCAGCTCCAGGGAAAACCTCTTTGTACAGATATTGGACGTGAACGACAATTCCCCAGAGTTCACCCAGGAGGTTTACACCATGTGGGTCACGGAGAACAACAGCCCCATGCTCCGGATAGGCAGCGTGAACGCCACGGACGCCGACGCTGGAAGCAACGCCCGCATAAACTACGCGCTGTTGCGGCAGGAAGGCAAGGACGAGCCCGTCGTGTCGGTCAACTCTGAAAATGGAGATATTTATGTCCTCCGCCCGATGGACTACGAGGAGGTGCGCGCCTTCGAGGTGGCTGTACGAGCTACCGACGGCGGCTCGCCGCCGCTCAGCGCCCAGACGGTGCTGCGAGTAGTAGTGCGGGATGAGAACGATAACGCACCCGTCGTGCTGCACCCAGCTCCCGAGAGCAGTGCAGCGACGGGTGAGCTGGTGCCGCGCTGGGCTCGGGCGGGCTACCTGGTGGCCAAGGTGGTGGCGGTGGACGCGGACGCAGGGCAGAACGCGTGGCTGTCGTACGAGCTGGCAAAGGCGACGGAGCCGGGGCTGTTCCGCGTGGGACTGCACAGCGGCGAGGTGCGCACGGTGCGGGCCGTGTCGGAGAGGGACGCGTCCCGGCAGAGGCTGGTCGTCCTGGTGCGGGACCAGGGAAAGCCGCCGCGCTCCGCCACGGCCACCCTCGGCATTGCCCTCGTGGACGGCTTCTCCGACGCCCATCTGCGAGTGAGCGAGGAGGTACCAGCCTCTGAGCCCGACGGGCCGCTGACTCTATACCTCATTGCCTCCCTGGTCTGCGTGTCGGCGCTGTTCCTGGCCACCGCGGCGGCCGCCGTGGCCGTGAAGGTGCGGCGGGCCAGGCAGAGTGAGGCAGAGTCCTTGCCCACGTTTCCGAAGGCTGCCACAGATAGCAACGCGGGATCCCTGCCCCGCAGCTACCTGTACGACGTCTGCTTCGCCACGGGGACCGTCAACAGCGAGTTTCGGTTCCTAAGACCCCTCTTACCCTGCTTCCCCGCCGGGCTGCCCGCCGGCCAGGGCGAACAGCGGAGCTCGGTGTGCTCGCAAGACGCGGCTATCACCGGAGAGGGAGGGAACTGGTCTGCACAGGTGAGGGACCTGACGACGGGGGGAGCGGGGTGGGGGGAAGGCAGCGCGGCGGCAGAGTGTGACTGGCAGTAAGGACTATCGATGTTGAGGAGGTGATGCTCCCCAAGTGTTGAATAACCACGCCTCTCCGCCCCTAGCTCTGTGCTCTGAGCATTAGTCTTAGATCAAGTCTTAAGTCTGGTGGGCTTGATCTGTGGGCTCACAGAGGGAGCAGCTGGGCCAAGAGAATATGAGACGTAGAGGTATAGAATTGTGACCCATGCAGTGGATCCTGTCCACGCACTGTGTCATGCCGGTACAGACCCAGAGCAGGAACGACACACCTCCTAGGAACACGTCCAGTAACACCAGGAATGCCGTGATCCTGTCCGGAGTCAACCGGACTGCGGGGACAACGGTGCGAAGGGGTGTCACGTAGCTAAATTATGTCCCCTGCACTGCTGTTACGAGCTGATGCTCGGTGCTGCCAAGTGCTGTTCACCAGGGTAGTGACAGTGCCGGGCTTGGGCTGTCTGATAAACTGCTGGAGGCCACGGAGGTGGGGACCTCTGCCATTGAATTCCCTTACATTTTTTGTGGTTGCACTAATAGTATTGTCCAGAAAAATATGGGTATCTGGACTTTACAACGCAACCTCACAGCCTTTTCCTGACTTTGCGGGTGCTGTCAGACATTATCAGCTGTCAATGTTTCTGTGAACTCAGAGTGAGTCATGTCTGAGGCATCCATTAACATCCGGCTGTTCAAAGAGCAAAAGGGAGATAAGAGGTGATCATTGAAGCAGTTCCTTCTCACTCTCCCATGAAGCCCAAGCGCCCTCTAAATATGGGGTTACTACTTTCTGGGGATCCATCTAGCACTTCACAATGGTCCGGAGCATGAACATATATGAGGCTGAGGACCTCATATATGTTTTAAGACCCACAAACCCGTGATTTTTTACAGTTACACTGTCATATATCATAACCACAGATGACTTATTGCAGGTTCTCAAAACCTGTTGCAGTAGCCTCAGGAGAGACCAGGACCCACCTCGATACAGCAACATTAAATCACATTTACTGTTAGTGAGAAAACGTTTTTATTTCGGGCTCTTACCATCTTAAATTACTTCCTCAAACTCATAAAGGTTTGCTTTTGTCATATCCACAGTGGAGGATGGTCTCTTGCGTTAGATTTTCCCTTTTCAGGTCAGACACCCACCACCAAGTCCAAATTCTTTGGCTCTGGGTAGAGAAGGGTGATGTCACACATGCAGCGGTGTAAGACATGCCCTTAGTTTCTCGATGCTGTCTGCTTACCTTCGAAGCCCAAATGATAACTTCCAGTCTGTTCTCTGCAGGGCAGAGCTCCTCTCCCCGAAGATGTGGGTCCCAGCCCCGCAGAAGCAGCCTACACTGCGAACAGGGGGATGGAGCTAAATGTCAGTTCTGATCAAAACCCTTGGCTCACCCAGTAGTAAGTGGAGAGAAGGACAAGCACACCTGTCCTCACTGATGAACGTCCTCAGAGGGAAAATGGAACAGATACCAAATACCCACCAAAAAGTACCAGGGAGGTACAAAGCTTCCCTGTGTGAACAAAACCACTCTTCTCTTGAGCAGTTCTTTATTCATGTAGGTATTTTGTAATTATGGTATGGATGAAGGAGGAGAGACTTGATGTATGATTGTGAGAGTGCTACTGCTTCTAAATGGTAAGGGAAATACTGAACACTGGAGGCAGGTCTTCAAGATAACTTTTTCCCACATAATCTTTTCCTTGTTGTTGTTTGTTTTTTTGGTTTTTTTTTTTTTCTTATGGAGAGAACTCTTTAACCATGTCTTAAATTTCTTCAGCCTGTTCAATACCAGGCCAAGCAAAATGAAGTGGTGCTTGCAAAGAAATTCCTTAGCAGCAAGCTGAAGCCGGTTACATTAGAAACTGATATTGGCACACTTTGCATACGTGACCAGAAATTTACAGGTTCTCCATATTGTAAAGAGTGGGATTTACGCAATGTATTCAATTTTATTTTCCATAAAGTAAGGTTGAAATTAACTTTTCACCGAGTAGAAAGTAGTAGAGAATTAAACGTATCATTTGTGGGTTTACAGTAAAATAGACTAAAGTTTACAATTAACTTGAGCCGTAGTATAATAGCTTTCTGTTTTCTTTCATTAGTCGGTATTGATCTGTAAGGTAATGTGATATTTCCTGTCACACATTTTTAAAAGTCAAAATGCCTGATGACAGAAAAAAAAAAAACCTACTCGGACCTCCCCCAGGTGAGTGTGCTTTCTCCAAGAGCATTTATCACAATCATGGCCGAGAAAACAGCTGCCCCAAGAGCAGGATTTCGGGAATAAATCCGTGGACATTGTGAAGGGGAAATCAGCAGGTCGTTCTCAGAAGCTGGAGCAAGGTTCCAAGAAGCTGTGTAAAATCTCGGTAGTAGAAAATAGGTCTCAGGGTACCTTATGGGACGTTGGTGCCTGCTAACGATTTAGACACAGGAACGAACGGGAAAAAGTCATCCCACCGAACACCGTGGCCTTTGTCAGTGTGCGGGACGGGACCAGCACTGAGGAAAAACGAGCCGGCAGGACGCCGAGGCGAGAAACAATGCCCGTTTGAGATACGCGCTGGAGCCGGCGCCTCAGGGAGCATCATTTCTGTGGTGGACGCTGAGAAGGGAAACGTGCAGGTGTCTGCTAGACTAAGAGGAAGTGCACGCCTAGAGGGTGGCACCGGGCGATGCCACGCACATGGATTGCTCATTCAAGTGCGGGATGAGAACACCGGTGTTCCAGTCGCGCTGCATTCAAACCCTGACAGGGGTCGGGCGGGTAACCTGGTGGCCAAGGTGATGGCGGTGGACTCGGAAGCGGGGTAGAACGCATGGTTAACGTACAAGCTGGCCAAGCCAACGGACTTACCGCTGTACCGCGATGGGCTGCACAGTGGCGAGGTGCTCACGGCGCGGGCCGTGGCGAGGACGGACGTGTCCCGGCAATGGCTGGCTGTGCTGGTGCGAGAGCAGGGACAAACGCCGCTTTCCACCACCACTACATTAGGCATAACGTTTATTGACAGCTTTTCCGACACGTCCTTCAAGCTGTCTCTTGCTTCTGCGGGGCAGAAGCGCAGCTGCCCAGTCCCCGAGGAGGACCCAGTCAGGGTCAGTGTCATCGCTTTTCCTCCTGCGCGACAGCGGCTGTGAGGCTGCCAGGCAATCCACGCATCGCCTCCCAGACTTAGATAGCCGAGAGCTTTGGGCAGCTGGGAAAGCCTCGAGTCAGCTTCCTGCGATGCCCGGGGGCTTGGGGTGCAGCGGCGGCTCTCTGCGATGTTCATGTACTTCCTGCCGCGGGACCCCAACGTGGGCGAACGCCCATCAGCCGCGCCACGGATCCGTGGAAGGAAACGGGCCGTAGCGAGCGCAGTCCCACCTCGGGCCGCAGGGTGGTGCTGCCGGCCAAGGCTATGCACAGCTTCTGCTAGAGGGGAGGTGGCTGAGCCCACGCAGTCGAGCTGGGCAGCGGAGGCGATCAGGATCCAGTACCAGCCGCTAACAAGACACGGCGGCCGCCCTCCGGGTAGCCAGCCGGACTCTCACAGAGGAAGGGCGCAAGCCCACCGTTCCGACGCGCTGCTGCCGGGTGCCGCTTGCTGCGGACGACAGCACGGGCCATCCCCGACACGGAGGCTGTCCACCGCCTCGCCATGGCCACCGCAAGGCAAGTGCTCTGTCTCTGTGCTTTCCTCTTCCTGCCGCACGCTCGCCCCGAGCCCATCCGCTACTCCGTAGCCGAGGAGAGCGAGAGCGGCTCCGTGGTAGCCAACGTAGCGGAGGACACGGGGCTGACCACGGCGCAGCTCTCGGCTCGCCGCGCCCGGCTGCTCTCGGAGGACGGCCGGCAGCACTTTCGCTTAGACCCGGCCACCGGCCGCCTCGTCGTGGCCGAAAGGCTGGACCGCGAGGAGCTGTGCGGCCAGTCCGCTACCTGCACGCTGCCCTTCGAGCTCCTGCTGGCAAACCCCGTGCAGTTCTTTCGGGTGGAGGTGGCCGTGGAGGACATCAATGACCACGCGCCCGTTTTCCCGAAGGAACTTGTCACCATTAAAATCCCAGAAATGAGCAACCCTGGCTCTCGTTTCCCCCTGCAGGGGGCTCGGGACCTGGATGTTGGCAGCAACAGCATCCAGGCTTATAGCATCTCTCCTGACAATGACTACTTTAGTGTCGCTTTTGGGAGTCAGTCTGAGGATGCTAAGTATATTGAACTGGTCCTGGAAAAGCCACTCGACAGAGAGGAGCAGGCAGAGATGGATTTCAGTCTCATTGCCATAGATGGGGGCTCTCCACCTAGGAGTGGGACCACCCAAATCCACATTGTCATTCTAGATGTAAATGACAATGCTCCCACATTCACACAGAAGGTTTTCATCGCACAGGTTTTGGAAAATGCCCCGGAGGGTTCTTTTGTTCTCAGAGTAGAGGCAACAGATCGTGATACGGGAGTTAATGGGGACATCTCCTATCAGATCAGCCAAGCAGGAGACCAGAGCCACTCAGCATTCGAGATTGACTCCAGGAGTGGTGAAATTAAACTCACAAAGCCTCTGGACTTTGAGACAGCAGAAAATCATAAACTCAGTGTTCAGGCCACAGATGGTGGGGGCCTCTCTGCAATCTGTAGAGTGTTGGTGGAAGTGGTGGATGTGAATGACAATGCACCCGAGCTGGTGGTCAGTTCCTTCACTAGCCCTATCCCTGAGGACACATTGCCTGGGACAGTCGTTGCCCTGTTTACTGTCAGGGACCGAGATGCTGGTTCCAATGGGAAGATCTCCTGTGCCCTTGAGGACCAGCTGTCATTCTCCCTGCGGCCAGCCTATAAAAATTACTTTGAGCTTGTTACTGTGAGTGCACTGGATAGGGAGGAGAGGGCAGAGTACATCCTGACTGTCACAGCAGCAGACGCAGGATCACCTCCTCTCACAACCACCCAGACCTTCACAGTGGACATCTCTGACATGAATGACAATGCCCCTGTGTTCAACCAGACATCTTATACTATGTACGTACGTGAGAATAATGTTCCCACAGTGCTTGTTGGGACTGTCAGTGCTGTAGATGCTGACATGGGGTCTAATGCCAAGGTGACCTATTCTCTGATCCCAGCCCACCCTACAGAGCAGCCTCCCTGCTCCTGCATCTCTGTGAACTCTGAGAATGGGGATGTGTTTGTGCTGCGATCCCTGGACTATGAGCAAGTGAAGCAGATCAAGGTCATGGTGCGTGCTTCTGATGCGGGGTCACCTCCTCTCAGTGCCAGTGTCGCTGTCTACATTTCTGTGGTGGATGAGAACGACAATGCTCCACTGGTGCTGTACCCCTCACAGGACAGTAACCATGCATCCAGTGAGCTGGTGCCCATTTCAGCTGAGGCAGGCTACCTCATCACTAAAGTGGTGGCCGTTGATGCTGACTCAGGGCAGAACTCATGGCTCTCATACCACCTGCTGAGGGCCTCTGATCCTGGACTGTTTGTGGTGGGTGCCCAAAGTGGGGAAGTGCGACTGAGGAGATTGGTGACAGAGAGAGATGCTGTGAAGCAGAAGCTCGTCATACTGGTGCGAGACAATGGTCGACCGCCACTGTCAGCCACGGCAGCAATGAGTGCACTGCTTCTCAATGACTTCTCTGACGTGCGCCTATCACACAGCAGCCTGGCCACAGAAGAGGATGAGGGCAGCTCCCTGACAGTGTACTTAATAATTTCCTTGGTCTTCATCTCACTCCTCTTCCTCGTGTCCACAGCAGCCTTCGTCATTCGCAAGGTGTGCAAGAGAAAGGAGCTGAAGGATGGGCATGTGCTTTACGGTGCCAGCAATTTACAGAGTGGCCTACCTGAGGCAGCTGCTTCAGGGACACTGCCCCATGCCTATTGCTATGAGATCAGCCTCACGACAGGCTCGGGCAACAGTGAGTTCAAGTTCCTGAAGCCCATCCTCCCCAGCCTGCCACCACAGCTTCTTGCCACAGGTGGGGGTACCAACAGTGAGCAAGATTTCCCATGTGGCACTCTCACTGCAGAGGATGTGGCATGAAACAACCCTCAGATGCTCTCTGCAGAGCAATTCAATAGTCTTTCCATTAACTAGCATGGTGTTGGCAGAGACAGAGGTTTCGCGTCTCATGACAGGAAGGGGTTCCAGCTCAGACATGTGGCAATGGTGCCTCCAGAGTTAATCTGTGTTTGCAATTGTCATCATTGATTTCTCTCAAAGAATATGTGAGAAAATATGTTCACTTCTTCTACAACAATACTAAGAAAACCTAAGAAAACAAACTAGAGCTCCCTCACTCAGGAAATAGGTTGTTCTAGCTCTGTTACAGCCATTTTTTAGATGTTTTGAGATTGAGATTTTCTCGAGGAGCTTGGTTAATTTTTTGTCCTAGCTGCTGGCAGACAGGACTATGGGGCAATTCCTTCGTGCTGTAATGGAATGACACAGTCAGGCAGGCAGACTACAATGTCATTAAAATGCATGAGTCATGAAAGCAAGGATGTTGTGAGTACCCTGTAACAATGTGGTGTGAGTATGGGGCTCCTTCTCCTCTGGGTTCTGGTTGTCTGTGTCTGAGTTGGGTGGGCTCTGTGTGTTTTTTCTGCTGGCCACTTTGTCTGTCTGTATCTCGGTTGAGTGCCTGCCTACGCTGCTCAACGGCTAGATATCAAATCAGGCAGTTGCGCATATCCAGCCTTTGCACACCATGCCAGCGAAGGAGAAAGTTGTTTTGACCTTTTGAGTACAGCAGTCTCATTGTCCTTAAGGGAGAACGAGGTCTTCCATTTGCCCATAAGGAGTGATGGGATGGGCTGTCTCCTTGGGATTGCCTGGAGAATACAGCAGCACAAATGGTATTTTGATAAACTGTTATGGGCCAGATTAGACTAGAAATATTTAATTTTGAAGGGACCTACAGTGATCGTCTGGTCCAACTGCCTGACCCCTTCAGGGCTTACTGGAAATTAAAGCATGTTTCTAAGGACATTGTACAGTATCTGTTAAACACTGACAGGCATGGGTCATCAACCACTTCCCTAGGAAGCCTGTTCCAGTGTTTGGCCACCCTTGCAGGAAAAAAAAGGCTTCTTAATATCAAATCTATTCCTTCCGTGGTGTGGCTTTGAACCTTACCCATTATTACTGGATGTGAGGGAGAAGAGTTCATCGCCTCCCTCTCTACCTCCCTTCTTTAGGAAGCTGACCCTCACATGCTGTTTAAATTGTGGCACCCAGCAGAGCGCACAGTTGTAAAGGTGGGGTGACATCAATGCTGAATGCAGAAGGATAATCAAGTGTTGGGAGCAACTGGTTGTGCTGGTTTTGATGCCAACAGGATGAAGTTTGTCATCTTGGCTGACAGAGGGCACTGCTGGCTCCTACTGAGGCTGCAGCACACCAGTAGCTCCAGCAGCTGCCTTTTTGCAGGGCTGCCCTCCAGCCTCTGCTTGCCCAACTTTGACTAAAATCCAGAAAAACTACATCCACCCCCTTCCCTTCATCAGCGAGGTAGGTGACCTTTGTACCCAGTATGATCTTCTCCATATGTTTTCCAGGAGCTGTTTTCTCGCCTGTTGATCTCAGCAACAGGTCTGTAGTTGCCTGTTTTTCCTCATGCCCCTCTTGCAGATTGGAGGGACATTGGCTAGCTGCTAGCCAGAAAGCTCAGGGGTCTGGGGAGCCCTGGGGGCTAACGATTAAATTAAAACTTGAGACAAGGAAAGCACAATGGCTTCTCCTTAATCCCTGTTATTCAGGGAGGGATCACTTTCCACAAGTACCAGTCTAATGTTTTCTTTTGACCTTCACTTGCTGTAAATGTACTTAAAAAAGACATTCTTGTCACCTAAATGTATTTCAAGTGTGATGCAGTTTTGACCTCTCTAGTCTTCTCTGTGCATATATGAACGACAGATCTGTAAGCTTCCTGGAATGCCAGAACTTTCTTCCAGATGCTATACCAGTTCTTTTCCTCTGGAGCTGTTTAACTGGGCTGGTTTTCTGCCCCAGAATTTTGACTTTTGGCACATGGAATTGCCTGCTTATAGACTCTAATCAAACAGAGATGTGAGAACATGTTCTTGTCCTGGGTTCGATTGTAGGGAAACTCCACAAGTTGATTCAAAGGACTTTTTCTGAAGGTTGAATTGAGATAAAATCAGAAGAGGAACTTTGAGTCTGGCCTTGTTATTGTTGTTTCTGAATGCAGGTGTTTCTTGATGGGAGTGGAAAGATGTTATGATTTTCTGTGTTTTTTATTAGACAACTGTATTCTTTTTGCCTTTTCTTCTTCTCTTTGAACTCTGAGTATTGTATTGTGTCTTCCTTTTAAGAAGGATTCTCTCACCTACATATAATAGCGGACTGTTTGAATGAAGGCAGTGTGGCATGGGATATTTGGAAGCCCTCACGATGTGTTGTGCTGCAGTATATAAACTATACTTTTGTAATGTGAGAGAATCATGTGTAAAAGCAAAATAAAGAGAACATCCAAATGTTCTGTGTGGAGAAATTAGTCATTGTAGAGTTGTTCTTTCTGGAAAAGCTTTCTCCTAGATTCTGAAGAGCCAGGAGTATTTTTCACATGCCCGTTGTTTGAGGTAAGGTTGAGTGGGCATAGTTCTTGAGCTGGGAGATATTGCTGGCAGAACATTCAGGAAAGTTGTAGAGAGCATGGACCTCTACATGTCTCCTTGGTACTGAGTGTTCTGCTATGATGGGGCCGTCATATGCAGATTGGGGTGACCTGTCCTCTACCTTTCTAGAGACCCTGGGTCTGCCTTGGTGTCTGCAAAGCAGGGAGGTGGGGAGAGTGACCTGCCCTGAGAGGTCTAGCTGCAGATGGCAAGTGTAAGGCTTTTCAGAACAAAATGTTTGTGACACTAAAGTTGTGGGAGTTTCAGAGATGTATGTCACAAAGGTGGCATCCCTGTTCTTTTGGAAGTGTTTTGGGCAGCACCAAGAGGTGAGAATTTGGTGAGAAAAACCAGCTATCAGGAAGAGGCTTCTTTCCTCAAATGTCTCAGTCTTCACTGGCAAGTGCTCCAGCCTCATCACCCAATCCACAGAGGGCAAGTAGTGGACTGGGAGAATGACGACAAACCACTGTAGAAAAGATCAGGTTTGAGACAGTATAAAGAACATGAAGATGCAGGTATACACGGAACCTGAAGAGATGCAAGTGGACAAGATACTATCCATCATGTTTCAGAAGTCATGCCAGCCAGAATAAGATCCCAGTGACAGAAAAATGGGAAACATAACCCCAGTATTTACAACGGGAAATAGAGCCAGGGAACAACAGGCTGATCAGTCTCACCTTACAGCTCAGCAAGATCATGGACCAGATCTCCCTGGCATGCATGCAAAAGCTCATGGAATGTAAGGATGTGATTAGTGCCTGCTGACATGGCCTCTCTAACATCCCTGAACAATTTGATGGCCTTCCACAATGGGGTTATAGCATTGGTCCATAAGGGAAGACTGAATGCTGTCATCTACTTGGGCTGGGGCAAAAACTTGACTCTGTCCCGCATTACACCCTTCTTAACTGGAGAAGTATTTATGTGATGGATTTACTTGGAATGGATATGGATATGGATATGGAATTGGAAGGATGATTGCACTCAAATATTTGTGGTTAATTGCTCATTATACAAGTGACATGTGGTACTCGTTGATGCAAAGCTCAATGTGACCTGGCAAGGCATGCTTCCAGATCTTAGGCTAACTACATATAAATGATTTAGTTCTGCTGGAGTGAGTCAACAGGAGTGTCACAAAGATGATCAGATGAGTGGAGCACTGGTCCTGTGAGAAAACCATGAGAGCACTGGGTTTGTTCAGCCTGTAGAAGTGATCGTTCAAGGTGGCTTTAGAGCTTATTTGCAAAAGGAGGAATACAAGAGCGTCTAGTGAGAGAACAACTGGTAGTGGCTTTAACTTGAAGGAGGGTAGATAAAGATTAGATTTTAGGAAGAAGTTCTTCACTGTGAGGCTGGTGATGGACTGGAAAAAGTGGTTTGGTGTCACATGCGTTGCCTGGTTGTATGGGACTTTGAACAACCTCAATAAGCAGAATGTGTCCCTGGCCATGACAGAGAATTGGAAATAGATGAGCTTTAAGGTCCCTTCCAAGCCAAACCATTCACAGATTTCTTCTATGAAATGCAGAGGACCACAGCCATACCTTCTAGAAGGCCCTGATATAAAGATAAGTGCTGAGGAAAGACTCTGCTATCCAGTCAACCTGAGCAGAAACAGAATCATCTGATGGAATAGATCCTTGATGCCATCCATATCTAAGGGGATGTTGGATTAGGTATGCTAATCTCCTCCAATAGCGACAGCTGTAAGAAACGGAGTTGTGGAAGGCATTTGAGAAAGTCGGTGTGTCTCTCCTCCAGAGATCACAAGGAACCAGCACCTCCTGGTGTAAAACTGCTGTTTCTCGGGTTCTGGCTGGATAGGCCAAGTGTCTGATGCACTGCTGAAGTAGAGGTATTATCACGGCTTTTACAGAGTGAGAGGACGAAAGCCTCTTTCCAGCACTTGAGAACCTGCATACACTGCTTTCCCCGCGGGCTATTCGGAAGCGCCCTTAAAAGCGCACATTCTTTAAGATGCATCGCAGTGGGCAGGAGCAGTCAGAGAGACTATTCAGGGGGCAGACACTTTCCGTGCCTCTGCAAGCACAACCACCCTCTGCGTCGACCCGTTGGACATTCTGCCCCGCTTCTGCGTGTCCAACCTCTCCTTTGGGGAAGCCACGCTGCATACGGCTAGCCTCCGGGGCGTTGCCAGCGGCGGGCTCTGGGCAGCGAGGGAAGCCGCGGTACAGGTGCCGGCGGTGCCCGGCTCTTGGGATGCAGCGGCGGCCCCGCGGGGCTGTCGGACCTCCTGCCTCGCTCTGCCGTCCCCGACGCGGTGTGAGCGCATCCTGCCGCGGGGCTGCAAAATGGGTGACCGCCCGGCAGCCGCTTGTGTGCGCATGGGTCCGTGTGCCGGGGAGAGCCGACAGTGCGGGTACCAGCCGGCGACGGGCGCAGTCCCGCCTCGGGCCGCAGGGTGGTGCTGCCGGCCAAGGCGACAGAGAGCAGCTGAGAAGGAGGAGGTGTCTGAGCCCACATTCACTCTGCCCAACTGAGCGGAGGAGAGCAGAGCCCAGACCAGCCCCGGCAGAGCCGATCTGGGCAGCGGAGGCAACCAGATTCCCGTAGCAACCACTGCCGGGACACGTCGGCAGCGCTCCGGTCCGCCAGCCGGACTCGCAT